GAGTGCAAACCTCCTTCCATCAGCAAGGGCATTGAAGATGAAACGTGGCTGGGTCTTTCAACATGACAATGATCCCAAACATACCACCCGGGCAACGAAGGAGTGGCTTTGTAAGAAGCATTTCAAGGTCCCGGAGTGGCCTAGCCAGTCTCCAGATCTCAACCCCATAGAAAATCTTGGGAGGGAGTTGAAAGTCCGTGTTGCCCAGCGACAGCCCCAAAACATCACTGCTCTAGAGGAGATCTGCATGGAGGAATGGGCCAACATACCAGCAACAGTGTGTGCCAACCTTGTGAAGACGTACAGGACACGTTTGACCTCTGTCATTGCCAACAAAGGATATATAACAAAGTATTGAGATGACCTTTTGATATTGACCAAATACTTATTTTTCCACCATAATTTGCAAATAAATTGGTTCCAAATCAGCCAATGTGATTTGTCTGGATTTTTTTTCTCATTTTGTCTCTCATAGTTGAGGTCTACCTATGATGCCAATTACAGGCCTCTCTCATCTTTTTAAGTGGGAGAACTTGCACAATTGGTGGCTGACTAAATACTTTTTTGCCCCACTGTACTCTCATTGTATTTTGGCGTAGTGGTGGGAGGCACTGCTCTCTGGATGCAGTGTCTCCTGTTAGGTATCGGTGTGGTGATCAAAATGTTACTACTCTGCCTAGGGCCCCAGGTAGCTTTAATCCTGCTCTGGTTTAAGTACCATATAAACTGCATTAATTTTTAAAATATATATACATGTACTTTTCTTAAATTTACATTTACATGTTATTTAATTTTTAAAAATCAAGACATTTATTTTAAATTAAGTGCTATTTAATTGCCCATGTTGTATTTTAGATTTATTGGTGATATTATTCCTAATAACAGCATTTTGGCATTTCACTTTTGAATTATTTTAAATTTGTTTTGGGGTTTTTTTGCGCTGTGCATTGTAGTATTTAAAAGTTATTAAATGCATAAAAATTCAAAAAATTAGTAGGATGACTGACTTTTGAATGCCACATTTATTAAGGCATTTAGTATGTAAAAAATAAGTGAACAGACATATTTCTGTAGCATAATCCAGACTTTAAGTTTTAAACAGCTAAAAATATAAAACCCAACTAACTTATTTTTTTGAATGGATTTCTTTATATATCGATAGAGCATAATTACAACTTGTACTGAAACAATGTGACTTACTAAAGATAACAAGGTTCATTTGCCAATTAACTTGTGTTCACTTTAAAACATCCAATTATTTGCAGAGATTAAAACTTCTTTGCATGCAATTGGATGAATGAAAAAGAATATAACTTTAATAAGCTAAGTGAAAATGTACTCTGTTCAATAAACCTAAATGTGTCCTTTTACCCAAACAATATTTTGGCTTTGTTAATTCATAGGTATTTGTTAGCACCAATTTGACCCTTGATCCTATCAGAGGAGCATAAACATCAGCCAGCTTCTCAGACCTTGCCACACGTGCTGCAATGAAAAAACTAATATTCCAGACAATAGTCTATTAAAACTGATCTGAATTGGACAAGTAGACAATTGTTGGAAGATTACCTCTGATGCTGGACAGTTGTATATGTGGTCAGTCACATTTCTGAGCACTGTAACATGGATAAACATAGACAGGTCCACATTTACTATTAGGTACATGCCTATAGGTGGCAAAACAATGAAAGTGCATTCCAATATAAAATTACGGTGCTACCTTTTTTTGCATCATTAGTAGGAATCACCTAATTTAAAGTTATTTACCTAATATCACAAAATTTTCCAATCCAGATTAGAACCTGAAAAACAAGAACATGTTCTGTATTAAAAAGGTGATCCTAGCAGAGAGGTTTTACTTAGAGCACCACAAGTTGTGTGTCTATGGGATTCATTTATGAAAACTCCACATCCCCCAAGATCTCACACTAAGGGCACTTGTCGATGGGGTTTGGACTTACATTGATGTTATCTGATGGGCATCAGTTTAAACTGTGAGATCATGTAGAATGCATTGGCATTTGCCTTTGAACTGGTTGACCTCCTTCTGACCTGTATTTTACCTGCTTCATGTAGGTCGCACATTTCTAGAGACATGTATGGGATTTAAAAACTCGCTTAAAGTGAACAAATGCCTATTGACACAGACCCGAAAGTAATCAGCAGAAAAGCCAAACATTCTAGTTCAATTTAATAAAACATGCAAGTGGATAAACTTAACAAATAAAACTTGGCACTTATCTGAGCAGCAGGTTAAATGTTTGTATAACCGGTTTTGTACAGCCTAAATATGGATAATATGTTTTGGTCTATAAACATTGTGTCAGTACAAGCTGTGTTATGTTAATGTTAATTTATACCCTCTGGATAAAGAAAGGTATGTCATAAATATGGTTTATTATATCTCTATCAACACCCGTATCTCTTACAATGAAATTTACTGATACTTTTTTTGCTTCAAATGTACAATCAGGAGATGTTTACTTTTTTCATTTATTTTTGTTTATTTGTATTATTTCAGTTAAAATGATTGGCAATGAAAAAAGAAACTGGATTACAAGTTCAGCATAAAATCATTTTCTATATTTCCCACACTTTCTGATTACTTTTAAGATCTTAATTTCCTTCTTTTTAATATTTAATCTTGTAACAATGTGGATGGGATACATGATATGAACAATGTGTCTGTTGGTAAATGAATGTTTTTTTCTGTTTGTTTTGGATAAATCTGCAGAAAATTCCTTTATTGATGGTAGGAGTCTTCTGTTGCCAGTCTCGTAGAGTCTGTGTATGTCTTTGTATTGCATGTTAGTTTTGTTCTTCAATAAGAACTTACTGGAATATCTAAAATTTATACATAGCAATGAATACCATTAAATATTAATGATCAATTTGGAAATTTTGTTCAAAATATATAGTTTATAATACAGTTGTATTATGTAAATATGTAAACACATAATATTTTAATCAAATTTACTTCAATATACTTTTTAACATATATGGCAACCATTCCTAAATTGCATCACAGTAGTGTTATTACCATTATTTATTAATATGTAATTGGGAATTATTTTGCTAACTTTACGATGCATGGTGTTCAATGCAAAAACCCTATTTCCATAGATGCCTATTGCACAAAAATTGAATTTCTTATAGAGGACAAAACTTAAGTGTATGACAATGCCAAATAATTGAATGATGCAACAAAAGTCTCATTAGTGTTCATCATTAGTTCACCTCATTTGTTGACACTGGTTTTGCACTTGAAAGTGATACCCACCAAAAAGTGTAGCACATTTTCTGTGAAAAAAACATTCAGTAATAGTCCATTCATAGTGAGGCATTTTGATATTGGAGACACATTTATTGAGAAAAAATAAATGTATTTAATATTGTGGTACTAATGTTTACATTTTGTATATAATCTGTGGCATTCAAATGTCTAAATATATATATATATATATATATTTTTGCACGATATTCTAATTATTCGAGTTTCACCTGTATATATATATATATATATATATTGCTCTATTGTCTTTTGTCTATTTTTTATACTTTTTGTCTGCTTGTATTGCTTTAGTTTATAATGTAATCACTGATGTTGTTTGTGATAGAAACTTGCAAAGGAATGTCAATGTGGCAAGTACTTGTACAAAAAACATAAACCGCAATGTTGAGCATAATCTGCTATTTTACTGCATGGCAAAATTATGAATATCATTTTTTAAAGGGTGCTATTAATTAAATATTTTAAAGAAACCAATAATTCTGCAAAAACAGTAGATTTTTAGTTCAAAATGGAACATGTACATTATACTGAATACTGACTTTTTTTATAGATATCTAAAGATTGTTTGTTAGCAAAATTATATTAATACATTTTGAGAATACAGTATCACAATTGAAATGTAAATTCAATGTCATGTCTTAGACATGATAATTAAATCACATCACATATCAATAGTTAAATGCATAATGACACTCAGTCCTTGCAGAAATTATCCGTGCCTCATTTATACTGGTCTTGTTAGGAAAAAGTAAATTCAGTAAATAAAGTGAATATTCCCAAAATTTCCCATTTCATGTAATTTTCATGTAGTTTGTATTTCCAATTAATTGATAAAGCCAGACTGCTATAATGTAGAGGGACCAAGCAGAACAGAAAAATTGTTAAAAAGTTTTTTAAAAAGTAAATAGAAAACGATTGTGCGGAGCTAGCATTAACAGCTAGCTCCACCCAATAGTTTCCTATTGTCTGGCGGCTTTGCTGCCTTCATAAAAAAAAGAAAAAAAACGCTCCTGGGCGCTCTGGGAGCCTCCCGCTTTATTCTGATACGGAGCGATGTCAGAATCTACATTCCCCTTTGACAGCTAGAACCTGACACTGTACATGACTGCTTGCTGTCAGGCCAGACTGTCATTGACAGCTCAGGGCATCACTAATGATTAGGAACAAGTCAGCTTTCTTCCAGATAATGTAAACATCATGTCAGCTGACAGCTGCTGTGTATTTCCTTTCTGTGCGCTTGCTGTACACAGAGAAATACATATTTTTGTTAAAGAAGGCAATAGACAATTAAAAAATAAAAATATTAAAATATTTTAAGATCACGGCTGGCTCCGCCCAGCTGTCAGAAGCAGGCTGTCGGCTGGGCACTCGGCCAGCTTCGGCTTTCAGCGCTGCTCAGCCGAGCCGATGCATATGCGTTTGGCTCAACTGAGCCGCTCGGCCACGTTTGGGAGCTGTACGGGCTATAGTGAATAGCCCGTACAGCACCCCTTTTGTTCTACTGAACCGAAGGGGTCCTGGGGCCGAAGCTAGCCGAAGGATCGGCCAAAGCTACAGCTAGATCCTTCGGCAGCTTCGTGAATAGACCCCTATGTCATGACAATGATGTCTTAAATTAATTGGCCCCATAATGTAACTTGCATGCACAACAGGATTTGGATTATAATCAGGCCTATAGTTCTATTATCCACTGTTTAGTCCCTAAGTCACTAAACAAACAAGCATTGTTTGAGTTTGCATTGACTTTAGAAAGCATATAGAAAGCATTTGACAAGTTTTGATGCTTGTGTGTCCATAAAAAATTGAACACCATAATTATATATAACAACAACCCTATGACTAATTTGCCTAACTAAATTAGTATGATAAATAAATACTTTTATCATTTTCATAGCTTGACAATTAGACAAATACAAAATGTAAAAATAAATATGTTTTGTTTACAATTTTAATATTTTTTTTTTTTTTTTTTAATTGTCTATTGCCTTCTTTAACAAAAATATGTATTTCTCTGTGTACAGCAAGCGCACAGAAAGGAAATACACAGCAGCTGTCAGCTGACATGATGTTTACATTATCTGGAAGAAAGCTGACTTGTTCCTAATCATTAGTGATGCCCTGAGCTGTCAATGACAGTCTGGCCTGACAGCAAGCAGTCATGTACAGTGTCAGGTTCTAGCTGTCAAAGGGGAATGTAGATTAATATTCCCTCTGCAGAATGCATTGTGAAAGAGAATATTTATCTACAGTATACAGACATGAAGTGGTTAAACAAGCTTTGGGTATAATTCAGCAGGTTTTACCTGTTTGTTAATTTTGTTGTCTGAGAAAAATTAAACAATGCTAGTGTGTTTAGAACCTTGATATCTCAAACATATTTCATACCAATTCTGTAATGGTAACCACAACGTTTGAATATCTTTCAAATCCTTACATATGGTCACATAATGTTGCATATTTACCTCTTAACTATATCACAAGACCCCCATATAGCTACCTCACATAGGTACATACATACATACATACATAGACACATGGTAAAGAGATATGTTATAGTTCAATTTAGCAGTACAGTCTTCCATTGCTAATGTAAAGCTAAAACCTATGATCACAATAGGTCCTATACTATAAATGAGACATATTTGAGTAAAATTCACTTTTTTGATGAGATACTTTTCTACACACATGATTAAGTGATGTCATAGTAGAATAAGAACTGTTATTTTCAAAGCAGCTTTACACTAAAATTTCGGCAATTATATATTTGAAAGCATAACAAAGTATATTGTTTTCAAATAAATTTACATTTCAGTGCAGGAAAGGATTGTCAAATCTTATTAGTGTTTTTGCATACTTTTTAGTTTTACCAATCCTTAAAATGTTGATCTCTTTTAGAACTGAAGTTTTTTCAGTGTACTGAGGATTATGTTAGATGACCAATAATTCATATTCAATAAAAACTGGTTATGAGAGTCATTCAGAAGATAAAATATTATATGTGTTCTAGGGATGCACAGATACTTTTCGAGTACCAGTGCAGATACTTGGCATTTTCATGAGAACTACCAGGGTTGCAGCTGGCACCTGGCTCTGGCACTCCACCACTGTCCTGAAATCATTAGTCTGTATTGTTTTAGAAAAATTGTCACATGACAATAAACAAAAATGTATCAGTACTTGTAAGTACTCGGCAAGTACCAGTACTAGTACTCGCAAAACTGGTATCTGTGCATCCCTTTATTTATATTTATTTAAAAAATCATACATTAACCTCTTGCCGTCCGCCCGTTAAGAAAAAACGGACGGACGGACGGCTGACTCCTATCTGCGGGTTGCCGTCGCCAGACGGCATTTTTTTCCTGCTCGCGCGCGCCCCCTAGCGCGCACGGGCAGGAAAGACCCGCTTGTTACTACAGCCGTTAACGGCTGTTTCACATACAACCGATCAGCGGCTCTATAGCCGCTGATCGGTTGTATGGCGTGAATTTCGGAGCCCCCCCCCCGCGCGATCGCGGGTGCCGCCATCTCCCCCCTCCTGACCCCTCACCTTTAATCCCGGGATCCGCTGCCCCATCTGCGGCCCGGTACCGGCTCGGGATGGCATCAGGAGGAGGAGGGAGGGAGATCAGCTCCTTGCTGTTCTCCCTCCGTAGTGTGAATGCAGAAGTGATGTGTATTACATCACTTCCGCATTCACCTGTCAGTCATCTGGCTCCTATGCCAGATAGAAGAAGCTGATGAAGCAAATCTGTGCTTCATCAGCTTCTTTTGGGGTCTCCAGGTGACATTAGGGGTCTAGGGACCCCTAATGTCTCCATAAAGAGGACCTGTCAGTGTACCTGTGCTATTATATAGGGGGATGGTATCCCCCTATATAATAGCAATAACAATAAGTGTAAAAAAAAAATCTATATAAATAAAAAAAGTTAAAAAAAATAAAAGTCACAAACAAAAAAAGTTTAAAAAAATAGCAGGTCACAAATATCGCCGCGAACGTCGCAGTGAGAGCAATCATTTTAGGGCCATCAATCACTGATAACACTAAACTGATGAGCGGTAAAAGCTTTAATGCGTCGCCTATGGCCAATTTTGGGTAATTTAGTTTTTTTGAGGTTTCGCTGGCGTGCGCAATTTTAAGTCTTGACATGTTTGGTGTCTCTTTACCCGACTAGACCCCGTCTTTTATATTTTACCAAAAAATTGGGAAATTATAAATGTTTTAGAATTTAATATTGGGGAAACTGTTTTCTTTTTAAAAATCTGTAATTTTTCCTTAATATATAAAAAAATAAAAATCCCAGTGGTGAATAAATACCACCAAAAGAAAGCTCTATGTGTTCCCAAAAAAGGGTATACAATTCATTTCAGTACAGCGCTGCATGACGGAATAAATGTCAGTCAAAGTACCGCAGCGCTGAATACTGAAAAATGGCCTGGATGGGAAGGGGGTTTAACACCGCGGATGTCAACTGGTTAAAGCAGAGATGTACACATCCCAGAAGCTTCGTGTGCTCCTTACAAATGACAGCTGCTTCCTAATTTTTGAATTTTTCTCTAGTGTAGTCTTGGAGCTCAAAAGTATCGGTACATGCACTCGTACTTGTACCGAGTACTGTACTTGGTATCTGTGCAACCCTAATGTGTTCTATTATATCCAACTTGTGTAAAATTTGAGAAATTAATACACGCAACTCTGAAATTCTCTTTGCTGTCCTATAACTCCCAGACTATGTTTTTAGGAGCTAATGAAGCATAACATGATGTGTATTTTAATGTGGGATACTGAAATCTCAGATTTCAGTACCCCACATTATTGTAGATGCCACATAAAAAGGGCCCATTTATTTGTAAAATTGAATTTGCTGATTTTCTGTATAAAACACTGGATATATGAGGCCACTTTGAACTGCATCCAGTAAAAATGATCAGGAAATATTTTAGCCTCATTACACTGATGGCATGGCATTGTTTTTGTGGATTTTTTGTGATCTATGTCATTTTTGCTTTGCACACTGCAACAGTAAATGTCATTCTGCCCGCCTATATGTGAACCTTTGACCTTGGTCTGAGATGCATGGATAGTCTTTTGCATGAGTATCGCATTGCAGGTTTATGACACTGTCCACCATATTCAATAAACAGAAATATTTACATATCATTAATTTCCAAAGCCTATCATCTGCGTCGTGAAGAAACAGACTGGTTTGACAAGCCAAGGGAATCACGCCTAGATAATGGACTTGACCGAAAATTGCCAGACAAATTTACACACAGCAGACCACCACATCAGGATCAAGTAAGATGGTAGAGATGCTGGATGCGAGTTGTATGCCATATCAGTCTTCTTTGTTCTTCAGTAACAATCATTTATTAGAAGAATTTATTTATAAGAAGGAACATTAAAGTGTTTGTAAAGCCATAAGGTGTAAAACACTTAAACCATTAAAAACTGACTTTTTTAAGCACATCAGCCTAAACATGTTTTAAAAAGGCTTTCTAAATACCTTTTTTTGATAAATATGTGTAAGTGGTCTCTTGAATAGTGGACCACTGTTCAGCTCCATATCTATGGACTCTGAGGGATGAGGATGGAGACTGCTAATGATGATTGCAAGCTTCTGCTGGCAGTACATATTAAAGGAGCTTTTCCACACCATTGAAACAGCTCTAGTGTTGCAGGGAGGGATAGAGGCATGATTGATGTTGTGCAGTCAATCACTCTTGGCAGGGTCATACTATAGGCAGGCCAACCTGTGATGTCACAGGCTGACTACAGGACTGCAGGTTCATCGTGCCTTTGCAAAACATCCTGCTGTTCCTATTGCAAGTGGTACTGTGCATGTCTGGCAATGTTACTTTCTGAATCTGTAGTTGGCATTAAAAGCAGAGAGTAGGGAAGCTGAGCATTATACAGGTGACTGTCAAGATTACCAGGTTAGACATTTAGACATTGGCAGTCTTAAAAAAGGATATATACTAATGGTTAACATGGACTTTAGAATTAATTCAAATAAAGGTTTTTTTTAGGTTCACATATACTTTAAGAAGGGATTTGTTTAGTGGAATTAGTTATGTGCAATGTATAAATTACACTTGATTCTCAGCTTCTAGTCCCACTAACTTAAAGTCCATTTCCACCTTTGTAAGTGATTAGCATTTATTGTAGTAATGAAAATGTGCAGTGATGTATACATCTGCAAATTTTCATGACTCACGTTTTAGGCTTTCCTCATTTTTTAAATGAAGGTTTTATTAGGCTTGAAACCTAAAAATTTAAAATTTTCTCCACAACAAAAATCAGTCAGACACCAGGGTCAGATTGTAGTTAGGCTGTAAACAGCTGCCCCCTCCCTGTTATTCATTGTAACATGATCAGTAAACTTCCGTCTGACTTTGCACACAATATACTGCCCGGGGGAAGAGGGGAGGAGTGCCACTATGAATACTAATAAATGGGAGAGCTCAAACAAAGCTTACAAAACAGAGAGGCATTTCCATGAGAATATGAAAAGGAAAGCTAACAAAAATTTAAGTTTCTGTTTTCATATACTCTATATATCAACTGCATATGCATGCTTCATGTACAGTCAGTGTTCATTGCTGGCATATGTGGGTTTTTTTTAAATACCTCTGCAAAGGCAGAAATGGGCTTTAAAGCTTTAGTCAGAGGTGTGTTGGGGCCCATTGTTGGTCATTACCATCTGTTGGCTTCCATAATCCTCACAGTAATGTCATGCATATTGACTAGTACCTGAACTGTCTCAAGGGATAAATTACTGGATAATTAGTATGAAGGGTATAATTAGAGTTATGGGTCCCTTTTAACCACCTCCGGGCCAGCCGTAGTAAAAAAACGGCCGGCCTGGAGCTCTTTAGATCTGAGTGGGTGTCTTTAGACGTCCGCTCAGACACGCCCCCTCGGCGCGCGCGATCGGGAAATAACCGCAATTTTAAAACAGGCAGCGGTGCCTGTTAACATACAACCGATCCGCCGGTGCCTGTGTCAGGGGATCAGAGGGAGATTGTTACACAAGCTCCCTCCGGTCCCCTCTCCTCTGAAAGAATGCGGAAGTGTTGTATTATACATCACTTCCGCATTCTTGTGTCACTCTCCAGCTTCAGAAGCTGCAAAGAAGCTGATGGAGCAGATCTGTGCTTCATCAGCTAATTTTGGGGGGTCCTAGGTGACATTAGGGGTCTTGGAGACCCCTGATGTCTCCATAAAGAGGACCTGTCACATATTTTGCTATCACATAGGGGGGTTTTATTAGCCCCCGTATGTGATAGCAATAAAGTTTAGTGGGGAAAAAAAAGGAAAAAAATGAAAGTCCCCCCCCAAAAATTTTTAAGTTACACATAAAAAAGAATTAAAAAAAAAATGTAAAGTCCCCACCCATACATACACGCATGCAAACATGCGTCGGGGGCGCATACGTGCAAACAAGACGATTGCGTCCATTACGCCGCACATGTTACATATCGCCGCGAACGTCGGAGTGAGAGCAATAAGTCTAGGGCCATCAATCACTGATAACACAAAACTGATGAGCAGTAAAAGCTTTTAAAGCGTCACCTATGGCCTATTTTGGGTATGGTAGTTTTCTGCGATGTCGCAGGTGTGCGCAATTTTAAAGCTTGGCATGTTTGGTGTCTATTTAACCGACGTGACCCCGACTTTTATATTTTACCAAAAAACTGGGTAATAATAAGTGTTTCCTAACATAATGTAAAAAAAACAACATTTTCAGTAACTTTTCCTAATTATAGTAAAAAATAAAACCCGTAGTGGTGATTAAATACCACCAAAAGAAAGCTCTATCTGTCCCCAAAAAATGGTATAAAATTCATTTCAGTACAGCGTTGCATGACGGAATAAACGTCAGTCAAAGTATCGCAGCGCTGAATACTGAAAAATGGCCTGGCCAGGAAGGGGGTCTAAACACCTGGTCTTGAAGTGGTTAAAGTTATCATACAGTGAGGTGTGCATAGAGGGGGAGTACCTCATCCCAATAATTTATATCAAAGAAAAGAGAGAAAATTTTGACTTTAAAGGTACTCCAAGGATTACACAGAGTGCACTTTTTAATAATATGTAATAAATGTTTATTTCAACATATCTAAAAATACATAAATTATATTTTAAAAGGAGAAGAAAGATTATCTAAAAAAGACCAAAGGATGTAGCCACATCCTCCCAAAATTTTAACATTAGAGTACTTTTTACAGTTTACTGGATATCACCTTCTTTATTATGTTGTGGTCCAGTGGGCGGATATCCAATTTCTACACATTTCACAGAAATCTGCTTCTTTAGGAATAGGCTACAATTAGTATAGACACATTTATTGATGAATACAGTTTGTCTAGTTCAATTAACTTATGGTAATCTTTAAGGTGGCAATGTCCACTACTATCCACCATTAAACCATGGGCACGGACGGGGATGAACCAGAGAAGAGCAAAGAACAGGGCACCCTTTATGTTAACAAACTTTGTAGGTCAATAATATTAGAGGAAAAATAGAGAGGGCAAGTGTTATTATTGAAAAGTAATTTAAGGTATATTCATTGTGTGGTTATGAATGAAAATAAAAAAAAGATTTGATACATTTATGTTTGCTAGTTGAACCATTACATTAATTATAGATTTCATACCTGTATATTGAATTCATGCTAATAATTAATGAACCATTTACAAAGATTGCTGTGTTTATAATATATATTTTATGTGTATTAGATGAATGGAAAACCTATACATTACCCATTTCCTCATTCAAGAATTAAGCTTCAAAGAGATCCAAAGGATCACACTGTTTCAGGTAAATGTAACATTGTTCAGAAAAAGTATGGCTGTGCTTATGATTTATTGTGTTAATTGGGGATAGATGACTTGGGTATAACACAAAACTATAAGTGGAAACTACAGCAGCTATAAAGGATATATATATGGACTGAGCCGAGGTGCTACTCGAAGTGGGCCTTGCAGCTGGCAGCTGGGTGGAGCCAGCCATGCTCTCACAGCTGGCTCTGGCCAGTTGCAATGACAGATCAGCATCCCCATTGCAACTGGTCGGAGCCAGCCTTGAGATCACCGCCGTCTCCGCCAAGTTGTTATTCATTGGCCGGGACCTGCTAGCTGGTCCCGGCCAAATGGGGACAGTTGGGTGGAGCTAGTTGTCATTGCCAGTTGTTTTTTTATTTTTTTTGTTTTTTCAATGATCTTTATTTTTGTTTTTTCAATGATCTTCATTTTTTTACTTTTTTTTAAACTTTATTTTATTTTGGTCTTTTTTTTAAAATCTTTATTTAATTTTTAAGATTTATCATTTATTTACCTTTCTAAAAATTTTTTTTCTCTTTACTTCTTTATTTTTAAACTTTTTGCACTGATTTGCTGTTCTGCACGGTACCACGGAGGTACCGAGCAGAATGCCGCTCGGCGGCATTCAGCTATTCACTCATTGCCGTTCGGCCCCTATGAGAATAGGCCAAACGACAGCGAGTAGCTGGCTTGGAGTCGAACTCCTTCTGTACTTCGGCTCAGCCAAACATGCTGAGCATGATAGGCTGAACTGAAGCTAGCTGAAGCAAGCCGATGTATAGCTGATTTCAGCCCTTGTACGGCTGAAATTAGCCGTACAAGCCTGAAGTGAATAGCCAAACAGCGTTCAGCTCGCTTCACTTTGGGTCGGTTGTTCACTCGGCTGCCTTAGGCAGCTTTGTTAATAACCCTCTGTATTCTTGTTTTTACATGAATGGATAATGGCAGCAGCAGAGCTTCAACACATTCATTAAGCTAAGGGAAAATGTCCTCGCAAAGTGAAAATTCCCTTGCAAAGTGAACAACCTATTTATTATATCCTGCTCTAGTGATCTCTCTATTCTAAGTCCCTTGCACACAGTAGAACAAAAATGTGTTCAGTATACAATTTAAATAACCTTGAATGCCCCAGAGGAAGTTGTCCATGATGAAAAGCGCATAGGGCGGATTCGTTTGCAGAGTTTGTTTATGGTCAAATAAGTCACTGGCACATTTGTATAGTTTTGCACGGACAATCTAATCTATAATTAATTTAGCACAGAGCGGCACAAGGTTAATTTATACAAGTGAACAACTTTTTCACTTTCACATATTTGCCTTTTGTAAATCAACCCCTTTTAGTTATAAAAAAAGTTGGAACTTAACAATTTATAACATAATTAGTTGTGCATTACTTTTCATATTTAGTCAAATGAAAATTGATGTAAATATTTGACCTTATATTAATGGTGTTATAGTTTCCATTTTTGCTTATGCAGAACTAGAATAGTCAATAATTAAGACTAGCTAAATAGTCAATAATTAAGACTAGCAAAAGGCAGACAGATTTATCAGATTTGTCACTAAGGGGTCTATTCACAAAGCTGCCGAGGGCAGCCGAGTGAATAACCGATCAGAAGTGGTGAAGCTACGGCCAGATCCTTCGGCAGCTTTGTGAATAGACCCCTAAGACATCTGTATGGTTGCTGTACTGGTGAATAGACTTCGACCTGAATTATGAATGACAATATATTTCACAAATTCATATGGCCAGGTCTGAATCAAAATGTAATTTTTTTTGTGTTGGTTAGGATTCACAAAAGGTTTCTGAAAAAAGGCACAACACGCTGTCCCTGCATTATATCTGCGTCTGCTATTGCCTGAGCACCCTTAGCTTTACTGCCAATCAGCTCCCACCCTTCTTTCTTAGTATCTTTGGTAGAATATCTAAAATATGTGTCTCAGGCTGCTTTTGGACTTGTTATTTTATCAGGCAGGGTTGCCAGGAGCTTCTCAAACCATTCCTCCCAATTTTCCATCATTTGCTGCTCTATAATACACACTTTTTTTGAACCAGTTTGAAATTTCTATTGACTTCAATGGGACTTTAGTTTCAGAAATTCTGAAGTGTGCTCATCTCTACTGATGAGATGGAATAATTAGTAGGAATAGGAATGCATTCTAATATCGTCCCCCTTGTGATATCACAGCATGGAGCTTCAAAGAGAGACTATAAGGTTACATTGTTGCTTTGGTCAATTTACTTTGTTACAGACACAAAAAAGGGTACGAAGTACAGCATGTCTTTACAAATACCGACTCAACACAAATGACCAAAAAATTACAGCAATATGCTTCCTCAGGTAGATTAGCATTAGATAGGAAAAGGAAGTAAAAAGGAGGCATCATCCAGACCCACACAAAATTATCTTAACCAGTCCTGGCATCATTAGTGTTAATCAGGCAGTGTTTGCATTAACAAGTGGTCAACAAAGAGTAATTGCTAAAAAAAAAAACATAATTAGTGTTGACTGCATACTTTTCCTGTAAAAAAAATATTTTATTCTGATTAAGGGGCATTTTTATTTTCATCTGGAAAAGAATGTTTACCATATTAGGAGTTAAAAGGAAAATTACCAGAATCAGCAACCGGCACTCTCAAGCAACTGGCCAAAAAATCGAAGGCATAATATGTCCTCGATTTTTTTTTTGCTAATGGCTTGATGCACACTAAAATATTATCGCTTGCTTGTTACACACTAAAAAATGTAATTAGCAACTAAATGTATTTAGTTGCTAACTTAATTCTTTGTTTGCATCTTGCTGCCAGCTGGTTGCTAGATTCTACGGTCAGCAGCAGAAACAACAGGGAGCCATTGCGAGCCTGCTATTGGCTATTTCATATTGCAATTACCAATAGCAGGCTGGCTATTGTACCCGCCCACTAAGCACAGGAGCGTACTTGAGAGAGAACTTTCTTTCTCAGTATCCACTCCCCTGCTTAGTGGGCCAGTGCAATAGCCAGCCTGCTGTTAGCTATTGCAATTTGCAATAGCCAATAGCAGTTTGGCTATTGCTCCCAGCTGTTTACATTCACCTTCTGGCTGCAGAAGCTAGCCTGCAAGTGAATGGGGCCACAGAGGGGGAGGGCCACCTCAAGGGGGGTTGTTGCTTGAGAGTTAATATGAACTCTTAAGCAACCAGAGCAGTGTTTTGGCACCTACCGATCCCCATGGGTGTCAGATAACTGGAAGTTTACTGTACTTTGTTTTAGTAATACATTGGTTTACTGAAATGAAGGGTTATCTAAGGCATTGGTGACATTTAGGCAAAGTCATAATAAACATGTACAAATTAATTATTTGACATTTCAAGGAGTTCCAAATAAGAAATAACACCTGGTGATCCTGGAAATATAAATATTTAAAATGTGTTTTGATGTTCTATCTCCCACCCAGAGGCAGATCCACCATGGAGGAGATATTTAGCACCTGTTACATTGTGGCAACTTTATAAATAATTACTTTGTCTAATTAGTAATAACTGCTGCTCATAACCATGCAATGTATTGAATAACATCATACATTATAATTATACAGGCTTCTTTTGTGTATGTGAACCAAGGTAATAAAATCAAGATACACAGCTGAGATCTGTTCTCTGCCCAAACACTTCCAGGTTATACTGAGCTAAGTTGCTACATAATCAGAGTAATGACTTGAAAAAGATTAAAGAATATAATGTTTTAAGCTTTGGTGCCCTCACATATTTAAAAAAGAAACATAAGGAAAAAAAACATAAAACTGCGTAAGAAATCAACAAAAACATACACAACATCTATTGCAAAAAAAATATCAATTTTATTATCAAAGGCCACATTTAAAAACATCTACACATAATTAAAAAACTCCATCCACATACTCCCTAATGGTATGTCAAAATCGTACACCTTAAGCTGGCCTATAGATTTTCTACAGATTTTTTTCTACAGATTCTGCTGGCTCTCAAAATACCTGCTGGCTCTTGAACTCAGTTTAAAAAAAAAAATATATATATATATATATAGTGAATGAGATGAAGTTGTTCTGACTTAATCATCCAATAATGTGCAAACAAAAAATAGTTTGTTTTTTATTTTCCTTTCACATGACTCCCTATTCTTTGAATTAAAAAAATCTTGCCAGATTTACTATTATCTGCAAGTTATTTTGAATTACATTCCTTCTGCACGTATTCACCTCTAAAATCACAATCAATTAAAAGTAAAGTGCTCAAAATTAAAACATTGTTTTGCTATTATATTTACACCCTGGATTTATTAATTTTCATAACAATTGTCTGTATTTTCACTGATGGTTAAGTAGAATTATTAACACATGAAGAATAGTAATAGTAAATGTAAATCTTGAAATACCAGGTTATGTGAAAAATACCAGATGAAGATATTCTAATGCTCTGTCATTAAATATGGCTGTCATAGATTTTGATTGCTGTTACTTTCATTTTAATTCTGAGTGCTTATCAGATGGTCAGAAATCACAAGTGTGTGTGTGTTTATTAACTAGGAAATGGGTTTGGAATAAGGGTTGTTGGTGGAAAAGAGATACCAGGAGGTCAAGGAGAGATTGGAGCATACATTGCCAAGATTTTACCAGGTGGAAGTGCTGAGCAGACAGGCAGACTCGGTGAAGGTAAGAAATTATTTTTTGGCAGGTGTTTAAAGTCATATAAAAGTATTCAATATGTTCAGAAGTTCTATGCACTATAACAAATTGCATTAAGACAAATAGTATTTATTTTATTCTTGGAAAATATAATTGACATTTAAAAACATTTTTCAGAATGTTCAGACAAATGGTCATACAACATATGGATGTGAATATTGCACGTATGTTTTGTATTTTGAAACATGTGATTGAGCTGTGGTGAGTCTAACATTTCCCCTTT